ACTACGACGAAGAAGAAGTGCTGCTGCAGAGTTAGTGCATCAGAGAAAACGAAGAAGAAGAAGAGTTGTTGTAGCGTCAAGTTTTCAGCATGTCTAAAGGCGGTCGCATACCGGACGAGAAGCGCAGCGCCGTGTCTAGAACAATTCTTACAACAAGTACAACACGACGTAGCTGGGTGCCGCAGACAGATGCCGAACGGTGCCACCGGTGTGCGTACACTCATAGAAAATAATGAGTTCAAATTTTAAAGACGTGGCGTGATGCGACACTGCGCTGTGCTTCTCGTCCGGTGTGCGACCGCCTTAAGAAACGCTGTTTTGTTCACCAATCACAACACACTGGGACAGCTAACCAATCACATCACATTTATTTTTTCGGAAGGTGGCCTTCATCAAACCCGGAACTAATCGAGCCGTTTGTGCCAGGCTGGGGAGAAAGTACTTTAATAATGTAAATGATGTGAAAAATAATGCGTTTTTGAACCACCAAGCATGAGAGCATGTTCTAGTACACCCCCAAAATAAAATCAAGACTTTGTAAAAGAGTATAATAGGACCCCTTTAAGTGCTCACCTCTCAAAGGAGATGTTCCTGGTATCCAGCTGCGTCGCCACCACGGGAGCAGATAGACGGGCCGCCACCTGTTCGTCGCTGGGCTGCAGCGCCCCCAGAAGGCTCAAAGTGTTTGTGCACGGCCTGGTGGAGGGCGAGGTCGGAGAGGAAGAGAGGCACGGCAGCATCTCGCAAAACACCAGCTGTCTGTCATGATCCACTTCCATTACCATGGCGCTGGAGTCTGAATGACGGGTGGAGAGAGAGACCAAACGGATGGAAGCCAATTAGAGACTGTGGCGAAGTGAGACTGAGGTTGTTTCCATGCCAATGACGGCTTGTTTGAAAGAACACTGAGCGAGAAGTGGCATCGAGAACAAAAGCAGAGATCAAACCTAAATCTGATTTGTAGGCAGCAGGCGGAGAAAAATAAAGGTCGTTCAGTGCAGGGAAAAAGCCATCGCACGCACCTTGACCCCTGAATATGAAGCTGCGATTGCCTCTTTGCCAGGTCATTTGCTCAAATCCCATGAGCGTTGTGTCCACCCGCAAACACTGGCCACTCTTCCATACCCGATATGTGTCACTCGGACAGATACGAGACACGAGCGGAACTGGAAATAGAGGCAGAATTCAACAATAGCAGGACATGAGGATGTGGAAAGAGTCCAAACATGCCATTTACACATTGTTACGGCTAGACATGTGCCAGTATTCGGTAATGCGATATATCACGTATATCACTACAACATGGCCTTGATATTTTTTGAAAATGTTTTGATTCTTTATTGTTCAGTCACACTTTACATTAAGGCTCTATTATTTAACATTAGTTAATTCATTAGTTAACATAAACTGCCAATGAAAGATTCTTCTATAGCATTTATTAATCTTAGTTAATTTCAGCATGTAATAACGTTATTCAACTTTTGAACAGCTGTAAGAATAGTAACTTCTCAATAGTGCTTTCAAACAATTAATCGCGATTAATCGCATCTAAAATAAAAATTTTTGTTCACATAGTATATGTGTATGTACTGTGTATATTTATTATGTATAAATAAATATACACCCATGCATGTATATACACTATCAAGGCTGCATTTATTTGATCAAAAATACAGAAAAAAACAGGAATCTAGCAAAACGTTATTACAATATAAAATAATGGTTTCTATTTTAATATCCTTTAAAATATTATTTATTTCTGTGATGCAAAGCTGAATTTCCATCAGCCATTACTCCAGTATAAAGTGTCACATGATCCTTAAGAAATAATTCTAATATGCTGATTTATTATTAGAATTATCAATGTTGGCAACAGTTGTGCTGCCAAATATTTTTTTTTTTTGGCCAAAAAAGCACTCTAAATTTCAGCTACTTGCATTTAATATAAATTTAGTATAATACATATGAATTTAAATACAATTAACATGCATTTAAGTGTCTGAAAACATTACATTCAGTTTGCATTTAAGTACATTCTTTTAAAATATATTATTTCTAGTGCTGTCAAACGATGAATCACATCCAAAATAAAAGGTTTTGTTCACATAGTATATGTGTATGTACTGTGTATATTTATTATGTATAAATAAATATACACCCATGCATGTATATACACTATCAAGGCTGCATTTATTTGATCAAAAATACAGAAAAAAACAGGAATCTAGCAAAACGTTATTACAATATAAAATCATGGTTTCTATTTTAATATCCTTTAAAATATTATTTATTTCTGTGATGCAAAGCTGAATTTCCATCAGCCATTACTCCAGTATAAAGTGTCACATGATCCTTAAGAAATAATTCTAATATGCTGATTTATTATTAGAATGATCAATGTTGGCAACAGTTGTGCTGCCAAATATTTTTTTGGAAACTGTGACAGTTTCTTTTTTCAGGATTCTTTGATGAATAAAAAGTTAAAAAGAACAGCATTTATTCAAAATATAAATATTTTCTAACAATATAAATCTTTGCTATCACTTATTATCAATTAAACACATCCTTGCTGAATGAAAGTTTTAATTTCTTTCAAAAAAAGAAAGAATACAAATTTACTGTCTGGATCCAGAACACCTGAGAAGAGATGATGCCAACCCCTCAGAGGACCTCAGATGATGCCAACCCTGAAACAACATACAGAACTACCCAATGTTGCTATAAGTTTGATTGCATCATATTATAATTTCTGTAAATAGTGTTCATCGTGTGTTTGATTACGTCTTTAATTGATTTTTCCGTACATTTCTGCCATACATTAACTGACAGTCACCACTGATAAGCTACTACTAAATATATTGTAGAAACTTAATTTTCTGTAAAGTTGCTTTGCAACGATTTGTATAGTGAAAAGCGCTATACAAATAAACTTTAATTTAATTAAATTGAATTACTGACCCCAAACTTTTGAACTGTAGTGTATATTGTTAGAAAAGATTTTTATTTTAAATAAATCCTCTTCTTTTTAACTTTTTATTCATCAAAGAATCCTGAAAAAAAGTATCACAGGTTCCAAAAAAATATTAAGCAGCACAACCGTTTCCAGCACTGATAATAAATCAGCATATTAGAATGATTTCTGAAGGATCATGTGACACTGAAGACTTGAGTAATGATGCTGAAAATTCAGCTTTGCATCACAGGAATAAATTAGATTTTAATGTATATTAAAATAGAAAAACGTGATTTTACATCGTAATAATATTTCACAATATTACATTTTTTCCTGTATTTTTGATCAAATAAATGCAGCCTTGATGAGCACAAGAAACTCCTTTAAAAAAATTAAAAATCGTTCTGATCCCAAATTTTTGAACGGTAGTGTATTTAGGAAAAATATGTTACGTTTATATATTAAATATATTTATATACAATATAAATTATATGAATATAAATATATACATGTAAATATTTTCTAAATATATGCTGTATGTGTGTATTTATATATACATCATTTAAAAGTCCAGTTCTTTTTGTTATATTAAAAAAAGTTATTAAACCTGTTATGACAACACTTTTTGCAACTTTTTTCCAATATCGTAATGATACCGTATAAAATACTGTATAAAATAATACTGTATAAAAGCTTCAGCAATTATCGCAACATGAAAATTTTATACCGTCATATGTGTACGTGTGGCACCTACCCCAACTCGTAAATTCCCATTTCATTTCCACGTAAAAGTCCTGTGCCTGAAAGACAAAAGGGACAGAGAAGTTTAGCATGAATGTGAGCGTACAGTGGAAGGGCGAAAGCGCGAGACGGATCGCTCTGCAGCAAAACACATGAATAATAAAACTCCCTGAGAGATGAGGAATGGGGAGAACCAGAGAGCTGACACATCCATCATAAACGAAAGGAAAAGAGCTACGGGGTGCCCAGGGTTTAAGAAAACTGGGAAAAGAGAGGTCTCGCAAAACAAACAACGACGTAGACTCAGTGGTTTCCCGTAAACCTGTTTGTTTGTGTTTCTGTATGCATGAATCTACTGGAATGAAGGGCTCAGGTGTGCAGGCAGCAGGTGGTGGTTAAGATGCTGTTTGTTAAGCTGGTGGCTTGTTGTTTTGCCATTAGCAGGTTCGGGGTTTATTAAGGTACATCTGGGGCTGACCTGTCGGAGTCTCTCCAGCAGGCGTGGGATCCCCGCCAGTCGCTTGGTGGTGCGCTGGTAGTCACGGTAACGCAGCACCAGACGCACCATCTCCGGGTTACGTGAGCTGATGGCCTCCTGCAACACTGAGACAGAAGGTAAAGGTTAAATTGATACTGAAATTAGGGATGTGTGATATATTTACATTTAGAATAGCTTTGTCGTCATCTAATGCTCACTTAAAGAGCTAAATACTAATAAATTAAAATTCATTTTTTCAGAAAAAATTTTCATACAACGCACTATAATGTTAGGATGCTGAAATTGACCTGTAATTAGGGATGTGTGATATATTTACATTTAGAATAGCTTTGTCGTCATCTAATGCTCACTTAAAGAGCTAAATACTAATAAATGAAAAAAAAATTTGTTCATTTTTTCAGAAAAAAATTTCATACAACGCACTATAATGTTAGGATGCTGAAATTGACCTGTATACTGTAACTAAGTTGTAAATAAAAAAGATAACTGGAGTATGTTTTACAAGAAAATACTATTTCTGCATTTTATTTCACGTTTAATCAATGAATTTGTGAAATTTACTAGCAATTTCTGAGTGAAAATAGTTTCTACATAAAAAAAATTTCAGTGTAGCAAAATGACAGATTTTAGTTTTTGGAATTTTATTTGGAATTTATTTAGACAAAATAATAGAACTTTAATATTACGCCAATTATCAGTTATCAACTGTCAATATTGAAATATTATTGCCAATTAAAAGAACTGTTTTCTATGTTAATATATTTTAAAATGTAATTTATTTCTGTAATGGCAAAACGGAATTTTCAGCATCATTACTCCAGCCTCCAGTGTCACATAATCCTTCAGAAATCATTCTAATATGCTGATTTGCTGCTCAAGAAACATTTATCATTATTATTATTATTATTATTATTATCAATATTCAAATAAACTGTAAGATTTCTTTACAATTCCTAGTAGCATTTAAATGGTCTCATTGTCACTTTTGATCAATTTAATGCATCTTTGCATAAATAAACAAATCGTACCGACCCCAAATTTGAATTATCAGTTAATAACTATCAGTTAATAATTAACAGTTTATCATATTGGCCAGAATTACTGCATCCCTTCCCAAAATGCAAAGGCTTTTTCGCTGTATTACCTGTCCAGCCATTTCTGTTTTCTTTGCTGACATCAGCTCCACGCTGGACTAACAGACGGGCGCAATCTAAATGGCCCAGCGTCACGGCCAGGTGCAAAGGAGTCCGACCCCGTGGGTCCAACACTTCTAAATCAACCTGTAAGACAGAGAGAGATTAGTTTTATTGAGAACTTCATGCAGTAAAATATTTCACAAACACAATTTTCTGTTTCTGCCCTAAAACAGAGATCTGTCAGTGCTGTGGCCTAGTAGTTGACGCATGTTCTCCATGCTGAACGTTTGTGCTCAAATGCAGGTTTGAAAAACACCTGAATTGTGTCCCATTACATTCCCCCTCTATGACCTCAAACTATTTCTTTCTGCCATTCTGTTAATCAATGTTTAGAAGTTCAGTTAAGAACAGTTTATATATACATATATTTTTTATTTATTTGTATTTATTTTACATTTTTCCCCCTTATTTCATTTTCATCGCTGTGCCTCATTAAAGTTGTAACTTCAGTAGTGCTGGATACTGGATTCCCAGCATGCACCCCAACATGACTAAATTATGCAAATTACCACATCAATTGTTTACATTATTTTCATTGGTGCTGTCATGTTTGTTTCTTTTAAGGTATGTGTCAGATCCTGACATTTTGATTCTGATTTATTACCATTTTGTTGCAATATACTGCAAACTGTAGTCAAAGTAAGTCATATTTATGTATATAGCACTTTATACAATACAGATAGTTTCAAAAGAGCTTCACAGTAATAAGCAAGAAAATAACAGTATTAATTTTGCAAATCTTTTCAATTATGAAAAGAATCCAATTGCAGCTGTGAAGCAGCTCTTAAAAGACAATAGTGTCTTTCTCAGCTCATTTTAGTTCAGTGTTGATTTAATTTGGTTCATTAACAGTGTGTTGAATGAATGAATGAATGAATGTTGAATGAATTCAGTTCAACTATAAAACAGTTCTAAGATAATAGTGCATTATTCAGCTCAAGTCAGTTCAGTGTTGATTCAGTTCAGTTCAATAATAGGGCAAAGTTCATCAAATTATGAAATGAGCTTAATTCAGCTATATGAAGCTCTACAGAAGGCAATAATGTTCTTATTAAACTCAAGTCATTGTTGATTCAATTCAGTTTAATAACAGTGTTGATGCTGCAGAGTTCATCAATTATGAAACGAATGACTGCCATTCCAAACAACTGGAAAGGGAAAGACATGCAGATAAGATTTAAAAAATAAGGTTTTTAAAGTATAGTTCAACAAACATGACAAAATGACAATTATGTTATTATTTTCTCACCTTCATGTTGTATGAATTTCCTTTGTAGAACATAAAAGAATATATTTAGAAGAATGTCTCTGTGTCTACACAGTTAAATTCAGTGGGGTCCAATGCTGTTTTGGACCCCATTTGCTTTCAAAATATTTTAGTTTGTGTTCCACTGAAAAAGAAAGTCATGAAGATTTTGGAGATATGAGAATATCTTCAAGTATATGATAATCTTGCAGTATATGAGAATCTTGAGAAAGCCTTCAGAAAGAAGGAAAGAACAAGCATAATTCTGGCCACCCGCTATGCGGAAGGCATCACAGGTAAAAGGAAAAGAAGGCAGAAGTGAAAGAGTGCGATGGAAAAGAGAAGTGACAGGCGATAATTAAGGCATCACACCCGAACATGACACATGACACCCGACAGTCACGGTGAGAAATACTTCCACACTCAAACTGAGATCCGTGTTAAGCACACTGGGATTCCGCTCTTGTGAAATGCAGCGGCGTGCCATACTGTTCCTCCAGCTTCTCATCCGAGTGATCGCTCTCAGTCTCTCGGCCCCTTTGAGCCAGTCAACTATGTCACTGACAGTCTTGAGAGTTTCAAAAGAGTTTATGATTCTCCTTATGGGAGGATCATTTATAATAAGATCATCGCTCACTGTCATCCAAATGCAAACACAATCATTCCGTTCACCTCCACGCACTACCACACATTTCAGTAAATATGCTTATGTTTATAGATGCAGGATGACCCATTAATCATTATTTGATGAGTTGGCCGGCCGTGGTCGTGTTGGCCATATTTATAAGCGTACCCTCCGAAAGCAAGGTCATGACAGACGGTGCATGTTGAATCGTGTATGTGGAGCAGAAATGAGAGTCAGGACAGCTTTATTTAGAGACTTGTATGTGAGCCATGTTTGCTGTTTTTAATGAAGCATTTGGATTGGCTGTGTGGCAATGGAAACATTATTACCCAAGGGCTTAACTTGTGCTGCGAGAGTTGCTTTGGAGTTCTGTACTGTACTGATTAACTTGGTGCACTTATTTACACTTCGCTCAAGGTGCATGTGTGAGTTCTTGTGTTTTCTTTTCCATGCCTACTGTATGTGTGTATAGTGCATTATTTATTCATAGTTATTGCTAGTATGGCTACTACAGTTGCTCACGATTAAACCCCTAAATTATTTTAAGTATTAAAATTAAGCACGTAGCTCAGCTATCTTTTCTATGTGTTCAGATTTGTGATTTTCCCCTGGTCAGTCATAAAATAAGTTAAAAAAAATCCCACAGAGCCATATCTTGAGCCTAGAATATCAAAGATATTTGAGGGTGGGCTCTTTTAACTTTGACCAATAAAAGAAACCCTGCTTGAAACTGCCTTGAAACACACTAAAATCCACCCAGTGTACCCTGGTAACCACATGGCAACACCTAGGCATAATTATATAATTTCTTCAGAATACACAAAGCTGTAATTTGTATATTATTATTTACACTCATAATTTCTTCAGAATATTTAAAGTCGTAATTCATATGTATATAATATAATATAATAATATATCAGTGTTATTTCAGTATTATTTACATACTCATAGTATTTATTAATATTTTGAATTAGCTTTCATTTTTATATTTTCACTTTTAATTTTAATTGTAGTTTTATTTATTTTGTACAGAAGTTCTAAGAGGCCATGCATTATTATTTGTTTTCCTTCTTGTTTTCTCGCTATCACGACATAATTTTCTCGTGATCTCGACATAACAAGAGTTGTTTTCTTGTTATTACAACTTCTGTAATATATGTATATATATA